AAATTATACTACAACTCTATAGTTTGCACACAAATTATACTACAACTCTATAGTTTGCACAAAAATTATACTACACCTCTATAGTTTGCACACAAATTATACTACAACTCTATAGTTTGCACACAAATTATACTACAACTCTATAGTTTGCACAAAAATTATACTACACCTCTATAGTTTGCACACAAATTATACTACAACTCTATAGTTTGCACACAAATTATACTACAACTCTATAGTTTGCACAAAAATTATACTACACCTCTATAGTTTGCACACAAATTATACTACAACTCTATAGTTTGCACACAAATTATACTACACCTCTATAGTTTGCACAAAAATTATACTACAACTCTATAGTTTGCACACAAATTATACTACACCTCTATAGTTTGCACACAAATTATACTACAACTCTATAGTTTGCACAAAAATTATACTACACCTCTATAGTTTGCACAAAAATTATACTACACCTCTATAGTTTGCACAAAAATTATACTACACCTCTATAGTTTGCACACAAATTATACTACAACTCTATAGTTTGCACAAAAATTATACTACACCTCTATAGTTTGCACACAAATTATACTACAACTCTATAGTTTGCACAAAAATTATACTACACCTCTATAGTTTGCACAAAAATTATACTACACCTCTATATAGTTTGCACACAAATTATACTACACCTCTATAGTTTGCACAAAAATCATACTACACCTCTATATTTTGCACAAAAATTGATGAAACTTTAGTGACCCTGTATATTTATAACTGGTATTCCATTAAAAAAAAAAAAAGTCCTGTAATTCAAAATGTTATTGCATGTAAGATAAGATAATCTCTGTTTAAATTTGATAGCGTTAACTTCATATTTGTAGGAGATAGCGTTTTGGGAAAACACACACACACACACACAAATGCACTTTTTATAGTGTAAAGTGACGACGATTTAAAAACTAAATCCTATTTTGTACCTCTTTAAAATACCAAAGAAGATGTAAGTCAAAATAAAATCCTATTAGAACTAGTTGGAAGACAAACGAACAAATTAGAACTCTCAGTAGCACATCCGCTTAAGTTTAAAGTAGATACTGATGATATATAATATATATAATTCGGGCCAATGATATTAATTCAGCCCAGGGCAAAACTAACAGTCAAGAGTTGGGTATCGCGTGTGATCAAACATAAAACTAACAATCAAGGGTCGGGCATCAAGTGTAATATATTCTCACTCTGTTAGATCTCTCTGCTGCATTTGATACCATTGACCACCAGATTCTTCTTGACCGCCTTCATCTTTCTTTCGGACTTACTGGCTCAGCTTTAAACTGGTTTCAATCATATCTTTCTGACAGAACTCAAAAAGTCTCTATTTCCAACCGCTCTTCCAAACCTTCAGCCCTGTCTATTGGAGTTCCTCAAGGATCGGTCCTTGGGCCGGTCCTTTTCATCCTCTACACTAAACCTCTATCATCTCTCATTAGCCACCACTCAGTTTCCAGTCAATCCTTTGCTGATGACACTCAAATCAGTGACTCTTGCTTTCCTGATCAACTTGATGCCACAATCCTTCGCATACAGGAGTGCGTGGACGATGTAAAGCGTTGGATGACTTGCAACAAACTGAAGCTAAATGATGATAAAACGGAAATCCTTCTCATCCACTCTCAAAACAAACCTCTCCCTCCATTCGCTCCTTCTTCTATATCTATTTGCAACTCTGACATCACACTCTCTCCCTCTGCCAGAAACCTTGGAGTCACGCTTACAGACACCCTCTCCATGGACAAACATGTCACGAATATATGCAGATCAGCATATAACGAAATTAGAAAAATCAGCACCATTAGACACCTCCTCTCCTTTGATGCCACAAAAACTCTCGTCTCTTCACTCATTCTTTCAAAATTTGACTACTGTAACACTCTTCTCGCAGGCATTCCTCAACACCACATAGACAAACTTCAGAAGGCACATAACTCAGCATGCAGACTCATTTTTAAATCAAAGAAACATGACCACATTCAACCACACATGCGGCAACTCCACTGGCTTCCAATATCCTCTCGCATCAAAAACAAGTCTGCCAATCTTGCTTCAACTCGTTCACTGACCCTCACTTTCCTGTCTATCTCTCTGAACTGTTGCTTCCTTACATCCCCACAAGACAACTACGTTCTTCCATTGACAGTGGAACCCTCTCAATCCCAAGGACCAAAACTAAGACCATCGGTGAACGCTCCTTCTGCTTCCATGGGCCCACGTTCTGGAACCAGCTCCCTTTCCATATCCGTCATTGTGAAACCTCGTCCATTTTCAAAAAGTCCCTTAAAACTCATCTGTTTAGGTCCGCCTATGACCTGTGAGGCACCCTCCTTGCCCTGCCTCATTTTCTGTTTCGGGTTGATCCTGAAGTATAGGCCAAAACGTGTCAAAGTGTCCTCGTTTTATAGCCATTTTCATTGTTTCTATAGTATAGTAGTTACTATCCTAGTGTCTCATTTTTATTTTACTTAGTTTACATGTTTTTCATAATTGTA